GAGGGGCTACATGATGCACAGGCGAACGAGGAGCAACGGGCTCCGGAGCAGCCTGCCGCGAATTGCTCTGGCCCGGCGCTGCCCTCCCTTGACGTACGGCACGCAACACCTCCCGAGACACCTCGCGCTGGAGGTCCGCCAGCGTCACTGGCGGCCGATACGACCCGCCTCCACCGCGCCCCGTGGGGCCCCGCCATCCCCGACTGCCACCCGAGTGCGTTGGCCACTGGGCCTGCTGCTGGTAGCGCCGGGGGGAGTTCCGCCGGCGCCGAGACGTCTCGCGCTCCTGCGGTGGCGCGGGAGAATGGGGCCGGGACAAGCGGCGGTCAGGCGACGGGGGACGAGACGGCGGAACAACCGGAGCCGCAGGCGGTGGAACGGGAGGAGACTGATCCGCGCTCGGAAGAGCAACCACCGAGGGCGGGCCGCCAGTGGTGGCGGACACCGCAGGCGACGAAGAAGCAGACGCCAGCATCGGCACGCCGGGGACAGCACCGGCAGGTGCAGCTGGAACGCCAGGCCCTGGGACAGGATGAGCGGCGACCCCCCCGGCAGGAGCAGATGCCGCCAGCGGCACGGCAGGAACAGGGAGAACAGGCGGAGAGGGGGCGACAGGCGGAGCGGGAGGAGCAACCATCGGCGCAGACGGCTCAACCCCGTTCACGACGAGAGGACGTGCGGATACGAGGGGAGGAGTCTTTTCAGCGGCTACTAGGCCGGGCGGCAGAACAGACAGTGGCGGGGAACCCGTCGCCTCGGTCCTCGCTCCTGAGGCAGACGACGGCCTTTCGAGTACAACCGACGCGGCGCCAACGCGCATTGGCGAATAATCAGTCACACCAGCAATCACCATCGCGAGGACAGGAAGCGCAAGGCGATGGGCGGGCAGCAGGTAGCGGTCGAGGAGGTGGGCCAGAAAATGGCTATCAGAGGGAGGCCAGAAGGGCTTTAACTAGGCTACTTAATGACGAAGAAGAAAATGACCCCTCTTATAGAGAAGAGCCAACGCCATCCAGTACGGAGGAAGGGTCAGAAGCAGAGGAAGGGGTAGAGGAGAATGGGAGAAGGACAGGAGCGAGAACAAGGCGGTCCCGAGGAGAGGGAACGACCACCGCGGCTGGACCGTCCGATGGCAATCGTACGGGCGAAATTCCAACCGCACCATCACAAGCAAGGCCGAGCCGCACCGGGAGAAATCGGGCCGCGACGGCAGGGGCATCGGTGCGAGACAATCCCAATCGCCCGCGCTATTTTACGCCAGAGGAGTTGGCGACGCGAGCAGATCTGTTCGCTGGCGTCGAGAACTGGGATATCCCAGCCCTCTGCGATAGTCGACAACCATCCCTGGCAAGGCGGTTACCGCCCAATTTGTGCCAGTTGTTTTCGCTGGCGCTGCTAACCCCGTTACTCAACCTGTCACGAAACCCGGAAGGAGAGGCAGGTTGGCGCCTACTCCTATTTCTGCCACGTCTGACGCTTCGCCAGACCTCGCCACGGAAACCAAACTGGCCCCAGATCAAGGCCCGGCTCCGAGCCTTCCAACGTGGCGAGTGGGGTCAACTGTACCAGGATGCGATCGAAGCAGTCAACACTCCCACGCCTCCACGTCACAAGCCCGACGCAACCGGGGTCATCAGCAGGGCCGAGGGCCTGGCGAAACGGGGTAGCCTACGACGCGCTGTGCTGGCGTTGGAGTCAACGCCGGTCTGCACCCCAACTCCAGAAATTCTGGAGGAGCTTCGACAGAAACACCCGCCAGCCGAAGCAGGGGAGACGACGTGGCCACCCTCGCCCGAGTCAAAATTGTTCATCACCCAGGCTGACTTCGCCAAACTGTTGGGAAGGTGTGAAAATGGAGTCGGTGCTGGGCCATCGGGAACGACATTCGAACACATGCGCGACGCGGCAATCACGAATGGACGAGTTAGCACCCATCTGCACGCCTTGGTTAACACCATTTTGGGGGGCAACCTTCCAGCACCGGTGTCGGACCTTCTGACAGCTTCACGGCTCATTGCCCTGGCCAAACCCGGTGGGGGGGCTCGACCAATCGCCATTGGCGAATGCATCACGCGGCTGACTGCCAAAGCAGCCCTCGCAGCCATGGGAGAGGCCGCGCGGGCCTTTTTCCTACCTCTACAGTATGGCGTAGCCGTGCCTGGAGGAGCCGAGGCAGTCATCCACGTGGCACGGGCGTATCTGGACAAGCTTCCCAACAGCCTCGTGCTGCAAACCGACATCTCAAATGCATTCAACAGTATTTCACGGCAAGCCATCGCGACAGCGTTACAAGGACCAGAATTGTCGCCACTACTGCCGCTGGTGAAACTGACATACGGTAACCCGTCGAAATTATTCGTCGACGCGAATTTTGGATCGGACCCACTGATCAGCGAACGGGGCGTGCGCCAAGGGGACCCACTTGGCCCACTACTGTTTGCGGCAGGTATGCACACTACACTCCGCGACACTGCTGCAGCACACCCCCAGGTGCTGTGTCTGGCATACGCCGACGACGTCACATTCCTGGGGGAGGCGACGGCTACTGTAGCAGCCTTCAACCATTTCACCGAGCAGCTGGCACACCTGGGGTTACGGCATAATGCGCAGAAATGCGCAGCTTGGAGCACACAAGCACCAGTAAAGGATTTGCTGCCGCACGACGTACCATTCTCCCAGGATGGTGTTCGCTTGCTCGGAAGCTTTGTGGGGCCTGACAGTGGGGCGTCACAGTTCCTGTCGGGTCAGCTGGAGGAGATGGCCAAACCCCTGCCACTGCTCGAGAAAGCCGACCCGCAGGTAGCCTCGTTATTACTCACCCGCTGCATTTCGAGGCGTGTGGCATACCTTACCAGAACAACACCGCTCTCCCTTTTGCCGCGAGAAACCTGGAGCCAGTGGGGGACAGACCTGCTAGCGGCCCTACTCACAGCATGCCACCTTCGCGTCCCCACCTGCCGTACCGAGCAAGCACGTGTCTGGGCGCAGGCGTCCCTGCCGCCGTCTTTGGGAGGGATAGGCATTACTGACCCGCTGGTCGAGGGTGTTTTCGGGTTCGCAGCGAGCTTCACGCAGGCGGCGCTTTTCATCGCATCACTAGACGGCGCTCCTGAGGGCGCGCTGGCGCAGGCGCGGGACCACATGCAGTTGCCTGCTGACACCACCACACCCCTTCACACGTGGCTGTCGGAGTGTGAAGCAGCGTTACCCGACGATGCGCGAGAAGTCCTGGAGAAAGAACGGCTGGAGCGAACCGATGTGAGGCTCCAGCACGCATTGGCGCTAAGGGTGCATGGGAGTAGATATGCGGCGCAGGTGCAGGCGACGAGGGAGATGGCGGTGAACCCCTTATGCGGACATACGCAGCGGATGTACTCAATGACGGGGTACGGGATTGGGGATTGGCTGACCGCTATCCCGATTGCGGCCAACAGGAGGATAGGGCCCACTCACTTTTCCAATGCCGTACGTTTCCGGCTGGCCCTCCCCTTCTCCACGCCGAAGAATTGCGACTGTGCGGACCACACGGAGATCACAGACCCCCGCCTCCCGAATCACCTTCTCCGCTGCGGCACGGGCAGGCATCGCATCAACACCCACAACGAGCTGCGCGATGCCTGTGTCAGCATGGCCCAGGACGCGGGTTTCATCGTTCACAGAGAATCCTCAGCGCACTGCCCCGTTGAGGAACAGACGGCAGATTTTACAATGACGGACAGAAGCAGTGGGGCCGTCTATGTATGTGATGTCACCATCACCGACCCCATCAGCACAAGGGACCCGGAGGCACAGAAGGGCAGGGGCTGGGCGGCCCGGGAGCAAGCGGACAAGAAAATCCAGCACTATGCCTCCCTACCAGAGACGGTGACCTTCCTCCCCCTGGCTGTGGACACCTATGGCTGCCCGTGTGCGGAGGTCCCAGCCTTTTTGAAGCTCTTAGCGGACACTGCAGCTCGGCGACACTTCAACGCCGACTCTAAATCGTTCTATGCTGCAAAGTTCCTGCACCAGTTCAGGCAGCGCTGGTCTGTGGCCCTGCAAAGGGCCCAATCTGTAGGCCTCCTGCTAAAACTTGGGGAGGCGGCGGCGGTTGAGAACCCGCCGGTGGGAGGAATTGGGGATGAGTTGCATCTAGGGGACTGCTTTGCAGTGATTGAGCCCCTCGTAGAGCTGTAGATTGGCGAGGTTTGCAACCGGCATGCTTGTTATCTAGGCCACTATAACTTGCCTGCCTGTACTTGACTGCTATATCAATAAAAGGACCATTAGAGAGAGAGAGAGAGAGAGAGAGAGAGAGAGAGAGAGAGAGAGAGAGAGAGAGAGAGAGAGAGAGAGAGAGAGAGAGAGAGACCCCTGGGTCCAAGTCCTTAGTCATTTTTAGCCTACACCCTTAGCCTAGCCTAGTCCTTAGTCATTTCCGCCTAGTTCCCTAGTATATAAGGGCAAGGAGCCCATTCTCCTCCTCATTGTGTGGTGGGGAGTTCATTCTCACCGGCCGGCGCTCGACAGCGCGGCCTTCGGCCGCGCGTGAGGGGTGGCAAGGCAACAGCTGCATTGATACAAGCACACCATACAAACATGCAGCACTAGTAGGGCCCTAGCAACAAGGCCAAGGTAAGTAGGATAGCCGGGGGCGGGAGAAGATGGGGAACAAGAAGGCACAGGGCAAGGCACAGGGCAAGGCACAAGGCAAGGCCCAGCAAAGGCAGATTGTCACACGTGATTCAGCACGTAAAACCGCCGCCGAAGCCAGCGGAGCAAGGACGCGAGCGCGGGCACAAGCTGGAGGGGAGCCTGTTCGACAGCCGTGGCTACCCTACGGAAAGCCCTCGCGCCCGGCCCCTCGTTCTCGTCAGGGCGATCGGACTCTAGAGGCAAACGGAGGAGGCGCCGAAGACCCTGCGCCGCAGCTTCACGCACAAGGCCCTCCTGGGGCTCCGTCAGCTGGGGATCCCGGAGCACTAGATTCCGCGCCTCCAGACCAGCATGCAACTGCTCCAATGCGGTCGCAACATGGGAGAGACATTCGCCAACCCCGATCATGCGCCGCTCCCAGCGAAGCACGTCCAGAACGAAATCGGACCGGATGTCCCAGTCCCGACCCCCCAACGTCCCCGACTGGGGAGGAAACTCCCACGAATCACCGTTCCACCACGCCTCGTCGTCTTCAGGATCAGGTGCGTCGGGAGGAAGCGGAGGAGAATGGCAACGAGGAGGAGGGAATCGAGCGACAGGGGAGGGGTCGAGTGGAATCAGAGGATGTAGCCGCTGAGGAGGATCACCAGGGGAACTTGCAGACGGGGTGGGCGGCACACCGGCAGGAAGCACAAGAGGTGCCCCAACCGCAGCCGGTGGGGCGGGAGGAGGTGGAGGAGCCAATGGCGTCGACGGCGCCGACTCAGCAGGCACGGACGATAGCTGCTGGGACGACTGGAGAGATGCTGACGGACAACGCCGCGGCATTGGCACCAAGAGGCGGTGACTGCGCGTCAGACACAGGGGCCCGAAAATCTCTCGCTGGACAGCGGGAGGGTGCCGAGGCGGACGGCGACGTCGGAAGGAGCCGCCACGAGCCTGGAGATGTGGATGGGTCCGCCCGCGGGGAGAGCGATAGACTGGCTCGTGACGACGGGGGGAGGAGCCGGCCTCCTCGTGCGCGACCAGGGCAGCGGCGGCTCGGAGCAGGGCTGGCGCCAGCTCGCCCCGGGCCTGTGAGTGGCTGGGATCAGCAGGAGAACCAACCGAGCGGTCCGACCGAGAGGAGGATCGACGCTTGCCAGTCATCGCCACGGGGCCTGCAGGCACAGGGAGGTGAGGGAGAGGAAAATCGTGTGGCGGAGCATCTCGAGGAGAACGAGTACAGGGAGGAAGAGGGGATAGCGACGGTGACGGCAGCGTGGCAAAGTCGGAGGAACGAAACTAGCAGGCAAAGGACCTTACGCGAGCGGGCGGAGGAGAGGGCGATGGGGCAGCAGCCGCGAAACGCGGCGGGACGCACGGCCACACAGGGACGCGGGAGGGGCCGGGGCAGGGGGGGACGGGTGGGGGAGTTGGTGAGATCCGTAGCAAGAGAAAAAGCCAGAACCGGAAATTGGCGGGAACGGCATGGGAGGCCAGAGGAGGAGAATGGAGAACCAATTAATGTCGCTGCAGAGGAAGAAGAGTCAGAATATATGGAAGAGGAAGAGGCTGAATCAGAGGAGGTGTCTGTGGAGGCCGAAGACGGGATCCCAGCTGACAATAAGGGCATACGGCGACGTGGCGGATGCCGAGGACACGACGGAAACAATCCTAACGAGGCTGGACAGGTGGGCAAATCACCAGCCCAACAGACTAATGAATCTGCCAGCAAGGAGCGCTCACCAAATGACATCGCGGACGATGATGACACATGGCGGGCGGTGGAGAGTTGGAACCTAGACCCATTGCGAGTCAGTTCCCAACCATTCTTGGTCAGGAAACTTCCCCCGGAAGAACTGAAGTCGTACAGTTACTGCCTGACGATTCCCCTACTGCGACTCTCGAAACATCCGGGCTGCATGGGCGCGTGGAGGGTGCTGCAATTCCTGCCTCGGCTTATGCTGAGGGCGAGCACAGAGAAAGTTCCGGGAAATAGCCTCGAGGCAGTGAAGAAAAGACTTCGACAATTCCGAGATGAAGATTGGGGCTCACTGTACCTCCAAGCCTGCACAATCCCCGACATTTCCCAACCAAGCAGACACGAGCCTGACGCAGAAGGCATCTGCTCAAGGGTAGAGGGATTGGTCCGGAAGGCCAACCTGGCGAAATCTGCGGCAGCATTACGAACCACTCCGTTGGCGGAGTCGTCGCAACAGGCACTGGAAACACTCCGGGCGAAGCACCCGCGAGCGGAGATGGCGATACAGGAAGGGCTAGGGGGTTACGGCGAAACAGCACTCGCCATTGGCACAGAATCGTTCCGCGACATCCTGGCGAAGTGCCCGAACGGAATAGGAGCAGGCCCGTCAGGCACTTGTTTCGAACACCTACGGGACCCTGCTCTAACAAGCGGGGAGGTATTGTTACTGCTGCACCAGATAGTTAATAACCTACTCAGCACGTACCAGGACGCGCCGCTGAGGGAGCTGCTGCTACCATCGAGGCTAATCACACTGGAAAAACCTGACGGGGGAGTAAGGCCGATAGCGATTGGGGAGGCACTCCTTAGACTCACGGCAAAAGCGGCGACACGGGAGCTGTCAGGGGAGATTCGCTCACACTTCCTACCAGTACAATACGGCGTGGCCGTACCGGGGGGAGCGGAGTGCATAATACACACGGCTCGTACGCTGCTGGCGGAGGACCCGACGCGCACGATATTACAGCTCGATATTGAAAACGCTTTTAATTCGGTTGAACGAGGGAGTTTTCTGTCGACACTGCTTTGGACCGGCGGACTGAGCTCACTGCTGCCATTCGCTAGAACCCTCTATGGCACGCCGTCGAAACTACTACTGGACAGAGGCTTCACTGTCAGCACCATCGACAGCGCCCGGGGCGTCAGGCAAGGAGACCCGCTCGGCCCCATGCTATTCGCTGCAGCCATACAACCAGCCCTGTTGGAGGCGGCGATGGCAGTCCCGGGCGCGATAGTGATGGCGTACGCAGACGACATCACTGTCATTGGCCAGCCGGCGGCCGCGACAAGGGCGTTCAATATGATAGTCCAGGGACTCGTCGGTCTAGGGCTGCGGTGCAACCTCACCAAGTCGTCGGCCTGGAGCCCCACGGGGAACACAACAGACCTGCCGGAAGGATTGGCGGCGGCGGTGGACGGAGTGCAAGTCCTTGGGAGTCCCATAGGCGCAGTAGCACTCTGCAGGCGCACGCTTCGAGCATTGCTGGAGCGGATAGCCCTCCCGCTGAGCCTAGTCAGCAAGCTCCACCCACAACACGCGATGCTGCTCCTATCGCGCTGCATATCGCGCAGAATCTCCTACCTCCTGCGCACTACGCCGGCGGACATTCTCCCCATCCGGGAATGGCGGGGGTGGAGCGAGAGGCTGCTGTGGACAGCACTGAGGGCGGCCCACATCAATGTACCCTCCAAGGAGCTAGAACAAAGCCTGGTGTGGAGGCAGGCGACGCTACCGATCGCGCTGGGCGGTGTGGGGCTGATAGACCCATTGTCAGAGGCACCGGCGGCATACCTGGCGTCACTAAGGGCAGCACAGATGCTGCTGCAGCAAATGCCGCCCTCGCCAAACCACCAGCTTTCGCAAGTGGCGTCGCTAGTGTCACCGCTTGGGGAGGGAGTGGCAGGAAGGGAAGGGGAAGCAATACGGGACCTACGGAACAGACTCCCCGAGGAGGCGCGGGAGCTGCTAGGGGAGCCGGGTGTCAGCGGGGGAGGACGGGGACGCTTGCAAGAGCAACTGTCGCGCCATATCAACCTGAACCGGGCAGCAGAGCTGGTGGGCGACACACGGATGGATAAGCCGGGGGAAGACAATGGACACGTGGTGCGGTTGATCAGCCTGCAGGGGGTAGGCGCAGTGGATTGGCTCCACGCCATCCCCACACGGGCAGATCTGACGTTTTCGCCGGGTCAGTTTGCCTTGGCTCTGGGGTTCCGCTTGGGACTAGCGCTGCCGGTGACGGAAAACTGCCCGTGCCAGGGGGAGCGAGGGGAGATTGGGGACCTGAGCCTACCGAACCATCTGCTGCGGTGCGGGGAGGGGAAAGAGAGGACAAACACACACAACAACCTCCTGTATACGGCGCTCCGCATGGCCAGGGAGGCGGACTACCTTACCTTGTATGAGACCACGGTCTACTCGCAACCAATCAACCCCAAGCGAGCAGACCTGGCCATCAAGGACCGGGAGTCGGCCGAGACGTATGTGACGGACGTCACAGTGACGGACCCGGTCCTGCAGCGCCGGGACACTAGGGCAGTGAAGCCCCCGGGCTGGGCGGCGGAGGATGCGGCCAGAACCAAACGAGGACTGTATGAGGGACGGCCGGATTTCGTGGGGGTGTTGGGGTTGGCGGTGGAAACATATGGAGCCCTAGCGCGCGACACACAGAGGTTCCTCATGCTATTAGGCAGACAAGCGGCTAAAAAGAAATTTAGGCAGGGGAGGCTTACCACTGTCGCCTCCAAACTCACAGCTCACTACCGCCAGCGCTGGTCGGTAGCGCTGCAGAGGAGCCAGGCGAACGCATTCCTGGCAAAGTCTAGCCGGGCCATAGAGAGTGCCTACCCACAGGCGGCGGCTGACCCATGGGAGCCCCGCCTGGGGGACCTGTGCCAAGTCATTGAAGATGACTTGGACTGGGGGCCAGCTCTGGAGGCGTGAGGGGCTGAAGTAAGGGGGCCCCGAGGCTGAGGTCCCTATGTGCTAGGCTCACGGCAGGCCACGGCTAGCAGACCCAGCTAGCTTAGTTTTTATATGTTGATACGTGCTTGCATGAGCGCTTGCTGGCCTACATGATACCTAGACGGTATGCTAGGGGATTGCTTTGCTGCTTTATCATGTATGGCTTGTACCCCTTTATAATATTAATGAAGGACCGCTTGAGAGAGAGAGAGAGAGAGAGAGAGAGAGAGAGAGAGAGAGAGAGAGAGAGAGAGAGAGAGAGAGAGAGAGAGAGAGAGAGAGAGAGATGTATGGCTTGCATGCCTTTGGCGGCGGCTCAACTTCACCCTCTGCCATCCCACGGGTTGCACAGCCGGGGACTGAGGAGCCAAGTCCGGGCGCGGATAAGGAACAAACCGCGGAGGTGGTGTTGTCCGCGTCGCCGGCACCTGTAACTGCGGCTGTATGGCTTGTATGTATGGCTTGTATGCCTTTGGCGGCGGCTCAACTTCACCCTCTGCCATCCCACGGGTTGCACAGCCGGGGACTGAGGAGCCAAGTCCGGGCGCGGATAAGGAACAGACCGCAGAGGTGGTGTTGTCCGCGTCGCCGGCACCTGTAACTGCGGCTGTGCTGGCGGCGGCGATGTCTGCTGCGACTGGGGAGCAGGGCAGAGCCCCGTTGGCAGAAGATGTGATGACTGCCGCTGCGTGCGCCGAAACGCCTGTTGATGCCGTGGCCGCAAACAGGCAGGAGTGCGCCTAGGCGGAGGGTGAGTTTCCAGGACAGACACACGGCGATTCTTCCGGCGCGGCACAGGCAAAGTCAAAGAAGAAGTTGCGCGCCCAGCCAGCGCCGAGACGGCCCGGAGCAGGGCTGGGACCTGGCTCCCCGAGACCCCTCCTAGGCTGGCTTCTGCAAGGGCAACCGCCATCAGAGCGAGCGCGTCGGTCGTCATCTGCGCATATGCAAGAGGCCAGGGGGGTCTCCGGACTCAATGAGGTAGCACATGGGACGACAGCAACCCACCAAGCAGATCAGCCGGCCTCTAACCAGGACAATGGAGCAGGCGCCCACTTACCGCCAAGACCTGCTGCCCCAGCCGCAGAAGGCGTTGCCACTCGTCGCTCGGCTCGACTGGGCACTGTCACGTGGGGCCCTCCAAGGGGAGTCCGTACGCCGTGGATGCCGGCGGGGAGAGCGGGACTGGAGGCCACGGCTCGATCGGCGCCGGCGGCGGGCTGGGGTTTACGCGGTATGTGCCGCGGAAGGCGAGGGGGAGGGCGCGGGAGTGTCGCTCGTCTGGGGTGAGCGGAGATCCAACCACGAACAGGCCCGTGGCGGGAACGTCACGACCGTCCAGAGGTTTCGGAGGCTGCGGCCAATGGGGACGTAGCCGGCTCTGCTGAGGAGAACGGGGATCCAGATTTTATGTGTGGAGAGGAGCCAGGCCCAGAGTCGGAAGAGGTTTCACTGGACAACGAGGAGGAAGTGGGAAGAGGGCGGAATCGAGCGAGAGGCACAGGGGAGGGAGCGGACGGAGAAACATCCCATGCAGTGGGAGGGTCGGTCCCGGCCGCAGCGGTCGCCAACGAGGTGAAATCGCCTGCCACCCTGGCAGAGGCCGACGCCATCTGGCAGATAGCTGGCACGTGGACCATGGACCTTCTCCAACGAATAGACCAACCGTTCCTAGTCAGACGGCTACCACCCCAGGTGTTAGACAAATACTGCCTGTGCCTCCTCGCGCCACTCCTACGGCTGTCATCAAACCCAGAATGCCCAGGCGCATGGGCGATCCTGCTATACCTCCCGAGGCTGACGTTGCGTCCACCACCAGAGCCAGTCACTAGCAGCCGATGGGCATCAATTGAGGCTCGGCTGCATCAGTTCTAGTTAGGAGATTGGGAGGGGTTGTTCGAAGCTGCTTGCACCATCCCCGACACAGGTGCTCCGCTTAGACACCTAAATGACGACGAAGGGGTTTGCACGAGGGCAGAGGTTTTGGTTAAAAAAGGCAACATTTCGAAAGCAGTTACAGCGTTACGCACCAGCCCTCTCGCCGAGCCGAATTTGGCAACGTTGACTGCCCTGAGAGCGAAACACCCGTCCTCTCGCACCCCAACGCCAGCCTGGGTTACCGGGATCACTGACTCTGAGCTCAGAATCCCACTAGAAGCTCTTCGCGAAATTCTCGCGAAGTGCCCGAATGGGGTGGGAGCGGGGCCTTCAGGCTGCTGTTTCGAACACCTGAGAGACCCAGCCCTAGCGAGTGAGGAGATCCTTCTGCTCCTCAAAAACGTGGTTACTCGCCTCGCCAGTTCCTTCCAGAGCCAAAAAGTCCGCGACCTTCTACTCCCCTCCCGGCTCATAGCATTAGAGAAGCCCGGGGGAGGAGTTAGACCGATCGCAATAGGCGAGGCTTTACTACGCGTGATAGCAAAGGCGGCCCTACACAGTTTAGGCCCGAAAATCCGAGAGTTCTTCCTCCCCGTTCAGTTCGGCGTAGCGGTCCCTGGGGGCGCGGAGTGTATTATCCACACACTTCACTCCCTACTCAGAGATGACGAGACCCGCATAGCTCTACAGCTGGATGTGGAGAACGCTTTCAACAGCGTAGAACACACGTCATTTCTAGCTGCCCTTCAGTGGTCCAGCCTCAACCCGCTGCTCCCGCTCGTTAGGAACCTCTACGATGGCCCCTCTCGGCTTTTAGTGGACCCCCGCCTGGAAGTGGAGCACATCCAAAGCTTCAGGGGTGTTCGCCAAGGGGACCCGTTGGGACCTCTTCTTTTTGCAGCGGCGATCCAGCCTATTCTGTTCGGCGTGGCTTCAACTGTTCCGGAGGTCGCAATAGTAGCATATGCTGATGATATCACAATCGTGGGGCCCCGCGAAGCAGCTTGCGTCGCTTTCAACACGGTCGTTGCGGAGCTGGCTTCGTATGGTTTGCGATGCAACCTGGCAAAGTCTGCGGCATGGTGCGCAGTGCGGGAGGAAGGAGGGGACGGCTTGCCACACGGCCTGCCCATCCACCCAGGTGGTTTGAAGGTGCTGGGCAGCCCGGTTGGCAGCGATGCTTTCTGCACCGACCAGGTCCGGGCGGCGCTTGCGGAGGCAGCTGCGCCGCTACCCCTCGTTGCCCAGCACAATCCGCAGCACGCCCTACTCATGATATCGCGGAGCATTTCCCGCCGCATCTCGTACTTACTTCGCACAACACCGACGGAGGCACTGGCCCGTACGGAGTGGAGGGAATGGAGCGAGGCATTGGTAGGAGCAGGTCTCACGGCGTCGAAGCTACAGATCCCGCCGAGCGAGCTAAAGCAAAGCCTGCTGTGGCGCCACGCAACGCTCCCGGTTCGGCTGGGGGGCCTGGGAATCATTGATCCCATTTCCGAGGCCCCAGCCGCGTACCTAGCCTCAACTACAGCAGCGCACCTTCTACTGCAGCAGCTGAACCTGCCACCGGACTACCTACTCCACAGGGCCGGGGATCTTCTTTCCCCGACATGGACCCCACCTCCCCCCCGGGTGAACCCGCTGTCCCCGCTCGAGGCAAGGCTCCCATCACAGGCCGCGGCGGTGCTACACAGCTATAGAGAGAACCCCAGGGGTATGGGCAACCTGCAGCTGGGGCTCTCCAAAGCCATCAATCACACGCGGGCGGAGGAGCTACTGGCAGATACGGTAACTGATAGGCCGGGGCCATGCCATTCGGCTCATCAGCCTGAAAGGAGTGGGAGCAGGCGACTGGCTCCATGCAGTGCCCACGAGGGCTGACCTCTCAATATCCCCTGGTCAGTTCTCCATGGCACTAGGCTTGCGCCTTGGCATGGAACTACCAGTGGCGGAGGTCTGCCCCTGCAAGCGGTCCAACTCCAAGATAGCTGACAAGAGTCTGCCCAACCACCTGCTACGGTGTGCCGATGGTGGGGATGCTGTGCGCACCCACAATGCACTGACCTTCGCTGCTCTTCGCATGGCACAGGAAGCCGGGTACAAAACCTTTCACGAGACGACCGCTTTCTCTCCCCCAGTCCAGAACAAGCGTGCTGACCTAGCCGTCAGGGACCAAGAGTCGGGAGAGACTTGGGCGACGGACGTGACGGTGACTGACCCGGTCCTGCAAAGGAGGGAAGTGAGGGCGCGGAAGCCGCCGGGGTGGGCAGCGGAGGAGGCATCGTAGGCCAAGCACAGGCTCTACGAGGGGCAGCCTGGCTATGTGGGCTTTTTCGGCTTGGCGGTTGAGACCTACGGGCCGTTGGCGACTGACACTCAACAGTTCCTTCGTATGTTGGCTACCTATGCGGCGAAGAAGTACCGCCAGGGGCGCCTCACCACCACCGCTGCCCGCCTCAACGCACACTACAGGCAGCGGTGGTCGGTGATGCTCCAACGTAGCCAGGCGACATCCCTCCTCTCCAAGTCTAACCGGGCAGCGGAAGCGGCATTCCCTCAGGCTGCAGCGGACCCTTGGGCGCCCCGCCTGGGAGACCTCTGGCAGATGCAGGTGGACGAGTATGAGGAGCGCCAGGCACCAGCTAGAGCGGCTTAGAGGGCTGGGGAGGAAGGAACTTGGTGGCAGGGGGGCGGCTGGGGGGCAGCAGGGGTGGGATACAGGGGCGTGGTGAGGGTCAGGAAGAGGAATACAGAGTTAGGGAGGCTTCAGTGGGGGCAGGGAGAATGGAAGGTGTCTCAGGGAAGTTGCGAGGAAGCTGCTGGGTGAAGGAGGATAAGGGGTGGTCCTATGGTATGGGAGGAACAAGGGATAGGCGGATTGTGGGGTTTTCTGGGACTTGTGATGCGGTGGACCGGGCTGCTCTGAGAGCTAGGTGATCGGTATGCTTTGGCTGCATGGGCTTGCTCGGTTTGTTTGTTAGTTCTGTTTTCCTGGCTGCTTCCATGTTTAGTCACGCTAGTTACCACCATTTGCCATGCCTGTACCTTTGTGACCCATATCAATACATGACTGCTTGAGAGAGAGAGAGAGAGAGAGAGAGAGAGAGAGAGAGAGAGAGAGAGAGAGAGAGAGAGAGAGAGAGAGAGAGAAAGAGAGAGAGAGAACGAGAGAATGAGAGAAAACACAATGGACAAGTGTGTCCATGGCCCTAGGCATCAGCCCCCATGCACTAAGGGCAGGCACAACCACGTCACTGGGGTACCACTCTGACCACATTTCCGGGCGGCCTCGAAGAAGCTAGCGCAACCATGTCAGAGCCGCTACAAGGATCGTCCAGCACGTGACGGGAGATCGAAGGCGTCCTTTGGGCGCTCCAAACATACGCGAACAAGATCAAGCAAAAACACGTTCTCGTGCGGGTGGAGAACCAGGGCGTATTCTTGATCCTTCGCAAAGGCGGCTCTCACAGCCCCGACCTCACAACGGCATGCAAGAGCATCATCCCAACATGCATGGAGCTCGGCTCGCGCTTGATCATTGAATGGATTCCGTGCGAGCTCAACACACACGCCGACGAGCTTTAAAAAATGGTCGACCACGACGATTACGCGCTGAAAACGCCGTGGTTCCGCATCTTGGAACGTCATCGGGGGCCCCACTCCATCGACCTCTTCGCAAACTCCCGCAACACCCAACTGCCGCGCTTCTGCACAAAGATTCCCCACCTGGAAGCCATGACAGTTGATGCATTCTCGATCGTGTGGACACCCGAAAACAACTTCGCCTTCCCCTGCCCCAACTGGTCCCAACCGTCCTCCATCACGCATTACCACCCATGCATCACTCACACTGATAGTTCCGCACTGACCAGGAGCAAGCTGGTGGCCACTTTTGCAACTCCGGTCAGGAAAAAAAAGTCGATTTCAGTGGTGGGCCCTGAGAAGCGTTCCCACTAGGGAACCTGCTCTATACCATGTGAAGAAATGAGGAATGAATGAACTAGCAAGCAGGTGGGTACAAGTAGGAAAACCTAGAAATGTTGTACCCCATATTGTCTACCCCACTACAGCCTACACAGACTATAGCATATAAGTTTGACACAGCCGGCATATTCATGTGGCGAATGTCGTGTGGCGAGAATGAGGGTGTACTCGTGCGATCACATACAGGAAGCTACATGTGGCCCCAGGTCAGCTCATATCTATGTCTTGGGTTTCCATTATGGATTAAGTGCGATACAAAGTTGTGGTAGTTAAAACAGGAAGCCTGAATTACAAAAACTGAGTCAACGCTTGGTTTGGTAGGTCTGGGGTTTGGGCAAAATGAGGTGCGGAGGAATTGCGAAAGGTGGCAGGTTAGCGAAACATGATGATGCAACTCTCCCATGAGGCAAACAGTTCGCATGCAACCCGCTAACCAACCTCCGAGAGCGAGAGCAGAGCAAGAAAATCGGCGTGACAGAACAAGGTAACTCATTCACTCGCTTTTAGAAAACCACCATCACACGCCTGCTAGGGATTTTTTGTGAACACAATTCACACAACCAGAATTAGTAGGTGCAGCGCATATACGCAACGGAAGGGAAACGCAGGCGCCAGATGCGAGTATGAAGCACGGAGAAAATGGTCGTGAGGAGATGAGAAATTAGCGCTTTGCCGACCTCCGCCCACCTCCCTCGCCCCGCCCGTCGCCCTCGTTCCTCCGCCCGCCCTCGCTTCTCCCATCCCGTCGACCTCGCTTCCCTCACCCGTCGACCTCGCTTCCCTCGCCCGTCGCTCTCGCTTTCCCCGCCTACCACCCTCGCCTCGCCTGTTGCCCTCGCCGCCTCCCCGCTCCTCGCCTTCGGTTCCTCCGCCCATCGCCCTCGCTTCCCCTCTTCATCGCTCGCCCTGTCAACCTTTCCTCTCCCACCTGTCGCTGCGTCGACGTCGTTCTCATTCCTGCCGCCGACTCTACATCGATCTTCCATCTTATTCGCCCTCTCTTCCTCTCCCCGTCGCCCATGCCCATTCCCCTCTCTCGCATTGACGTCCTGGTTCTCCACCCCGCCCTAGTTTCCCCCCCTGATTGCTCTCAGTTCCCCCACCTGATTGCGCTTTGTTTCCCCCACCTGATTGCGCTTTGTTTCCCCCACCTGATTGCGCTTTGTTTCCCCCCCTGATTGCGCTTTGTCCCCCCCCACTGTTTGTGCTCAGTTTCCCCCCTTCATTGCGCTCAGTTTCCCCCCTTCGTTGCGCTCAGTTTCCTTCATGAATGTCATCCGTCACCCCCCTGCGTACCCTCCCCCCTTTCCTATCATCCCTTCACCCTCTTCCCTCTCTTTCTATCTCTATTGATCCCTCCCTCCTCTCTCTCCCTCAAGTCCCCCCTCCAACCCCATATTCCTTTCCTTCCCCTCATGTCTCCCTTTTCTTCCCCCCAGGTCCCCACAATACGCTCTTGATTTCCCGCCTTGCATGCCCTTATCTTCACCTACCGCTTCCTCTCCTTCCCCCCCCTGCTTCCACTCTTTTTCTTACTTGCTTCCCCTCGTTTGCCCCCTACTTACCCTCTTTTGCCACCTTTTTCCCCGTTTTTTTTTCCCTTGCTTCCCCTGTTCCCCCCCCCCCCCTGCTTCCCCTGTTTCCCCGCCTTGCTTGCCTTGCGCGCAGTCTAGGCCAGCATCCTTCCCGCCTACCCTCTTCTCCCTGTTCCACTCTCTTCTTAGCGCCTCTCTCTCTCCTACTCCCGTATCCCCTATCTACTGCCTTTGCCAAGCCTGACTGTCCTCCTCTCTTCCCCCTCTCCTCTCTTCCCCCTCTCCTCTCTTCCCCCTGTCCTCCTCTCTTCCCCCTATCTTCCTCTCTTCCCTCTCTCCTCTCTTCCCCCTGTCCTCCTCTCTTCCCCCTGTCTTCCTCTCTTCCCCCTGTCCTCCTCCCTTCCCCTTGTCCTCCTCTCTTCCCCCTGTCCTCCTCTCTTCCCACTGTCCTCCTCTCTTCCCCCTCTCCCCCTCTCTTCCCCCTCTCCTCCTCCTCATCCCGTCCCCCCCACTCTCATCCCTTCCCACTCTCATTCCTTCCTCCCCTCTCTCATCCAGTCCTTCACACATTCCCTCTCATTGTGAGCTATGCTTTGCAGCATGGAGCAACCAAGTACGATTTGATTTCATTTGAAGCTACAGTGTGCCTCCATTGTAACATCCAACGGCATATGACAACATCTTGATACTGTACTCAAGTTGCGTTTCATGCTGTTGTTATGGTAGCTTCTGTTAGTTTTGTTTGTAACCTTGTACAGTAGAACAGTATACAAATCTTTTAGACCCATGCATATTTTATATGAGATGTAAATACACATGACATGAGCGTGCCGTACTAGGATACAAGACAAGCACAAGCCTCTGGGCCTTAGAGATGCTGAAAACAGGAGCAAGCGGAGGTGGCACGTCCATGCAGGGCGTCTGGGCCTCTGGGACGTACCGGTAGTGTGGGTGACGGGAGGGAATGGGGGCGGGCAATGGGAAGAGAGTGAGCGCGGGCGGGCGGAAGCAAGAAGGGAGGGAGTGATGAAGGATGTGAGGGGGGGCGGAAGGGGGGAATGCAGGAAGGGAGGGAGTGATGAAGGGAGGAAGAGGGGTCGGGAGGACAGGGGGAAGGGATCCCTGCAGCACCACGTAGGCCTCTGCTGCGCGACTCTGCCCGCCGCCATCCGCCCACAGCGCCCCAAGCAGCTCCCGGCTGCACACAAGGCCGAGGACAGTGTGGGAAACACCTGGAGGAGAGGGAGAGAGGATCGGATGGGGGGAGGACGGATGGGGAGACGATCAGATGGGGAGAGGACGGAATGGGAGAGGACGGATGGGGAGAGGACGGATGGGGAGAGGACGGATGGGGAGAGGACGGATGGGGAGAGGACGGATAGGGAGAGGAGGGATGGGGAGAGGAGGGATGGGGAGGTGGAGGAGATAAAGTGAGGAGGGGACAAGGGGGACGGAGGGAAGTAGGGTGCGCGACAAGCGGGGTTTGCGCGGAATGGGGTGGGGCGGAATGGGGGGAGGCGGAATGGGGTGAGGCGGAATGGGATGGGGCAGAATGGGGTGGGGCGAAATGGGGCGAGGTGGAATGGGGGGAGGGAGAAGCACGGCGGGAGTGGTGCGGCGAGTGGAAAGGGAGGAGGGAGAGGAGAGAGAGCAGGGTAAGGAATGAGAGGAGAGGGGAGAGGGAGAGGAAGACCAGAGAAGTGATGGACGGGGAGGTGAGGGATGGGGAGATGAGGGATGGAGAGGTGAGGGATGGGGAGATGAGGGATGGCGTGATGATGGCATGGCGGAAATGCGAAAAGTCACTCTACAACGGTAGTGAGCTAGACTACGGGGGTTGGCACAAACTACTAGAGGTGATCGTAGCTTTGCTTGGTTCCTTAGTGCTTGCACATTCACGGGAAGAATCGGCAAGAGTTTCCACTAGGCAAAGTCGAAATTCCAGAATGATTGAACAAGCAATGATAGAATGACTACATCTGGCACCTAGCAATCCTGCCGCTAGCCTGGTCGACCGCCAGCACAGCTCGATCGACCGCCTACCAGCGTTGCGTAGAGGAGCCGCGCCAGCACTGCAGAAAGGCGACCTACCAACAGAGCAGGTCGACGGCGTGCCAACGCTGCAGCAGAGCGGCTGTCCAGCGTTGCCCCGTAGAACACAGCAGTGTGCACGCTCGCAGGTGCGCGCAGACGATTGGCCCGACTTGCCTCACTGGGCATCCGTCGGCAGTTGTCTGCGCCTGACGAGCCACATCGACTCCGGGATACCAGCCCGCAGTTGCCTGCGCCATCGCAACCTCGACGATGTTCGCGTGCCTCCACAGAACTCGTCGAGCAGGTTACCCGGTCGACCCGGTCGACCACCAGGTGCTTTCGAGCGACCACCACTGCTTCTGGTCGACCACCAGGTTCCTCTGGTTGACCACCAGGTGCCTCTGGTCAACCGCAACTCCCGTCGAGCTACCCCCTGGTCGACGGACCCCTTCCGACTGCTCCGTCGACCTCCCGGTCGAGCAGCAGGTCGACGGGATGCTCCGGAGACCTCCCGGTCGAACGGCAGGTCGTCGGGATGCTCCGGAGACCTCCCGGTCGAACTGCAGGTCCTGGTCGACGTCCCACCCGTTGCCCAGACCAGTCAGTAGTAGCTGTCGAGCTCCTTGGTCGACAGCAACACCACACCGGTTCCCTGCAGCTCGACGAAGCCTGTCGAGCAGCTCTCCCACTGTGAGCGGTCAGCTGCTACTCCCGTACATCCGACCAAGTCATCGGCGTTGCCCAAGCGAGGGCGGGGCCAACACTCTATTCTTGTTAACACTCCCCTGCCGTGCTCACGCTTGGGCCTCCAGCCCACACGGCAGTAATCCACGGAGAAAACTTGTCCTCGGCGTGCACCCCACACACAGCACGCCGTCACCGCACTAGCCGTGCAGAAGGGCACTGCACCTACTGCTGCACCTTGTCGCTGCCGTTGCCGATGTTGGCCAGACGAACTTGGCCGATGGCGACAGAGCACCGGTTGAAAGTCGGAAAATGCAACGCCTTCGTCAGGAAGTCCGCCGGCTGCTCGGTGGTCGGTGTGAGGATCTGGGATGGAGCTCAGAAAAGATGATTCAAATTGAATTGAATTGAATGATCACCTGGGTACAACACGAGGCTATATATAGGCTCGACACAAGGCCCCGTAACCAGGTGTTACGCGAAGGTTCCGCGGGTCGCGAAGCGTCCCGAACAGATCCTTACCGAATTCAGTAGAAGGCAATTCGGTGGCAACCGAAAAGCCAGAATTCGGTGCACGCAACCTAGCTCGGTGCTATAACTATAATAAAATATAGGAAAGCACCTAGCCTAGGAAATCACGTAATTCATGCATGCATATAATTATCCTATGCTAGAAATAGCATAATAAAGTAAAGGCAAGCAAGCATAGCTGGCATAAGCCGTCGTACTCTCACACGTCCCCCCCTCAAAGCTGGGTGGCGTGAGATACACCCTGCTTGACAAGATAGTCCTTGAGAGCACGGCGTGCGTTGCCCATATCAGCTTCTGCAACCCAACTGTCCTCAGTGGGGTCGTATCCCTTCCAGCGTATCAGGAACTCGAGGGTCTTGCCACCGCGGCGCCGATGAGAGAGAACGCGCTCGATCTCGTACTCGGGTTCATCCTGTATGAGAACAGGTGGTGGTGGCGGTAGTTGCCGTCCCTGGAACTGTTGGTTGGGGTCCTTGTAGGGCTTCAGTAGCTGGACATGGAAAGCGTTGTGAAGCTTCCATGTATCAGGTAAGCGCAAGCGGAATGTAACTGGTGTCACCTGTGCCTCAACGAGAAAAGGACCACAGAAGCGAGGCCGGAGTTTGGATGGGAGGTGAGACGGGTTCAAGTTGTGCGTGTCAAGAAGCACCTGATCTCCGACTGCTACTGAGTGATCACATCGCTGACGATCGGCATACTGCTTCTGGGAGTTTTGCATCGTTGTGAGACGTCGCTGAGTCTTCTCCCATAGCAACTCCATGGTGGTGACGAAGTCATGTGCGGCTTGGACGTATGCCGGTGTAGTTGGCTGCTGTGGTGTGAGTGGTTCCCGTCCGTAACACAGGAAGAAAGGATTTTTTCCTGTGGCCGCATGTGATGCGTTGTTGTAAGCAAACTCTAGGGTCGGTAACTGTGTGTCCCAGTGGCTGACGTCGTCCTTGCAAGCTGTGCGCAGTAACTGTTCAACCACTTGATTGAGTCGCTCTGTCTGTCCGTCAGTCTGGGGGTGGTATGCTGAAGACATTGCAAGCTTTGTCCCCAACAGTCCCATGAGCTCCTTCCAGAACTTACTCGTGAATTTGGGGTCTCTGTCTGAGATGAGTGTAGCGGGGATGCCGTGGATGGTGATGATGCGGTCGAAGAAGAGTCGAGCAGTTGCTTCAGTTGTAGCTGTGGCGTTGGTCGGTATGAAGTGACCCATTTTGGAGAACTTATCGATCACCACGAGGATGGAATCATGTCCCCGTGAGGTCGAAGGAAGCCCTGTGATGAAGTCGAGGCTAACGACCTGCCATGGCTCCTCCGGTACGGGTAGAGGCTGAAGTAACCCTGTTTTTTTCTGCTTGCTGCTCTTCATCCGCTGGCACGTGTCGCAAGAGGTGACGAACTGCTGCACGTCTGCTGCCATCCCGGGCCAGTAGTAATACTTCGCTATCCCTGCTAACGTCTTGTTGCTCCCGAAATGTCCCGCGTAAGGTACGTCGTGAAACTCCTCCAATAGGATCTGCCGTAGCGGGGCGTAATTCGGTACCCAAATCTTTCCTGAACCCTTCCTTATAGCTAAGTCTTTCTCCCACTGTAATAGCTTCTTGGTCTGTGCTGTAGCAATCTCTGCGTCCACGGAGTACCCATGTTGGAATAGACCCTTGAGCAGAGGGTTCATCCTGTCGAGCTGGATGCCTGCTACATGTCCGGGGCGGCTCAACGCGTCTGCCTTGTTGTGTAGCCCGGGCTTGTAGACGATGTCGTAGTGGAAGTGAGTTTCCAGGAAGTCCACCCACCGCACCTGTCGTCGTGAAAGCGTCGGCTGTGACTTCAGGTATTTGAGACTGCAGTGGTCAGTATAGACTGTAGTCTTGGCTCCCTCTAGGTAACACCTCCACGCCTTGAAGGCTATGACTATTGCTAAGGCTTCCTTGTCGTGAATGGGGTAGTTCAGTTCTGCTCCGTGTAGCTTCTTACTGAGGTAGGCGATGGGCTGCAAACCGCGTCCGTGATCCTGCATCAGTACTGCTCCGACTGCTTGGTCACTAGCGTCTGCTTCCACCACGTAGTCCTTGTCTGGATCCGGCAAGATGAGTACTGGCGCTGTAGTCAGTGCTGTCTGTAGCTGCTCCATGGCTTGCTGATGAAGGGTATCCCATTTGTAGGGCGTATCCTTTTTCAGTAGGTCGGTTAGTGGCGCTGCTATCTTAGCGTACTGCGGCACGAACCTGTTGTAGTAGTTGGCGAAGCCTAGGAACTGCTGTAACTCCTTCACGTTCTCTGGTACTTTCCACTTCTTGACGGCTTCGATCTTCCGTGGGTCCACGTGTACACCCTCGGCACTCACCATGTGCCCGAGAAACTGCACCTTCTTCAAGGCGAAGTCGCTCTTTGACAGCTTCACGTAGAACTTGTTTTTCCGCAGGATCTCGAACACCTTCCGCAGATGCTCCACGTGCTCCTTCTGTCAGAGGTCCACTGGTGATCCCCGATCGATCCTAGGGAAGGGTTACAGGCACATTTGCCTGGGGGGTTATGGGCGCACTGACCCGCTACTGAAACAAGCCCTTTTATCCCAATGGTCTAGTGGTTGGGATTCTGAGATGGTATCAGAGCGAAGGTCTCGGGTTCGAATCCCGGTGTATGCACTTCGGGCATCCCAGTGCGGGGGGGTGTCAGAGGTCCACTGGTGATCCCCGATCGATCCTAGGGAAGGGTTACAGGCACATTTGCCTGGGGGGTTATGGGCGCACTGACCCGCTACTGAAACAAGCCCTTTTATCCCAATGGTCTAGTGGTTGGGATTCTGAGACCTTCATGTTCTTGGAGTAGATGAGAATGTCGTCCAGGTACACCACCACGCATTCGTCCAGCAGGGGTCGTAAGATGTGATTCATCTCCGCCTGAAACGTTGCTGGTGCGTTGCAGAGCCCGAACGGCATCACCAAGTATTCGTAGGAGCCGTATCTGGTACGGAACGCTGTCTTGTGGACGGAGTTGTCTGCCATCTTGATCTGCCAGTAGCCCGATCGTAGGTCCAGCTTCGAAAATACTGTTGCTCCACGCAGTTGATCGAGTAGGTCGTCTATGCGCGGTATGGGATATTTGTTTTTGACTTTCTGTTTGTTCAGTGCGCGGTAGTCGATGCGCATCCGTAGACTGCCGTCTGGTTTTGGAGTGAAGAGAACTGGTGCGCCGTAGGGAGAGGTGGATGGGCGGATCAGTTGTCTGTCCAGTAGATACTCTATCTGTTTTTTCATGTCTGTCAGTTCAGTCGGACTCAGTCGGTATGGTGCACGTGAGACGGGTTTCGCTCCTGGTTCCTCCACGATCTCGTGCTCGTGGGTGCGTGCTGGAGGTACGCCTGCAGGTAGGTCGTCGGGCATTATATCCTTGTACTGCTCCAAGACCTCTTTCACTGCTGCAGGTAGCTCGGAACTCGGCTTCACCTCCTCTGCTGCTGCCATAACCAGTGCTAGGTAACCCGTGTTACTCTCGTTCACCGTCTGTTCGAACCGTGTCAGTGTCGTTTTAGGTACGTCCCCTGTATC